TCTAAACTGTCCATCTCTCCCATCAGTGCCCTGTTCATATTTCCAATCTGCTCTCTCGTCAGAGCTGCTGGCCAATGTCAGTCAGCACCACAGAGGGCACTAAATCATACTGCAAACTTTGGCAGTCGGCCACAAACCCTCTCCTGTCCTTCCAGCTCCGGAGAACCGCTGGTGCTATTGTGAGGTGGACTTTATCCACTGGTGGCATTTGTTTTAGACAGCGGGACACTGCACTGATCACTGCAGCTACTGCATTTCTGAAGCATAATCACTGAAAGGATCAAATGTCTACCATGTAAAAGTCACAGTTTTCACCAGCAATAACATAAGTATAGCGAAATTTGGTAAGTGTTTCTCACTTAGAAGAATGGAAAAGACCAAATAAATTTCAGTTTTAATTCTACTATATATTACATATTGAAAAGATATTTGCCACGTTTGTCATTGCTTGAAACTGATATAAACAGAAAAAACAGAAGTACAGAATTTGACCTGTTCATATAGATTGCAAATTGAATGTTAATGTAATTCATTGCTTAACTAGTTATTTAATAAAATATGTAATTCCATAACAATGACATCTGAATTAGAGATGGCACAACATCATTTTTCGATACCAATATCAAAACATTGAGTATCTGCCAATGTCACTCTGATATTTTTTTCTTTTCACATGAGCATCTAAAAGTAGTATATCATGCTACTCAAACACTACTGCCCCACAGCTAAAGATGCACTGTTGTAGCTTTGAGGGTACATTTACATTGTTTGTACATAAACAAGAAACGTACATGCACAGTACATTTACTTCTAACAGTGTACAGGGTTTGATTCATTATTTTCCCTGCAGCATTCAGTCTAGCATTTGCTGTTGATATTAGACCGATACTGATAGCTGGTATCAGGTAAGAGCCTTTTTTCAATTTGAATAGTAATCCAAAACAAAAGTAAGACCTCCTGACTTCTAAGAGTTTAAACGTTTATCAGGTCTGAATGAGAATCCACTTGCTGTTGCCGAGTAAGAAAGAAACAAAGAATAGGCTTTAATTAACCTAATCAAGACTATACACAGCAGTGACGTTCTCATTCACTGTACACACACATCTGCGTAGCACGCATTCCACATATGTTGTAACGTGTGAACTGTGTTGCTATTTTTTTTGACTCACTGACTTCACCGAGTCATCTTGTGCCCCACAGCTGATCCTCCTGGAGTAGGGTGAACGAAGATCACAGTCCCAACCCAAATAAACAGGCCAACCACACACTGATTTAGCAGTTCAAACTTACTTTCATCCAGCCCAGGCCAGAGACGGAGTTAGCGAACTGTGTAACATCTGTGTGGCAAAGGAGTCTGAGCCAAGGAGGAGTCCCAAAATACACCCCGACTGCGCCCTCTCTCTCTCTCTCTCACTCTCTGGCGGACACACCCGGCCTGCCTCTCATAGTTACACCAACATACTCATCATTCACTTTTACTATGCATTTACATTTTCTCCTGCCCACAACCCAAACAGACAGAAGTACTGAAACCGTTCTCCATATACGCTGCGATGCTCCGCTATTTCTGACAGACAGGCACGGTCCTTAGCAGGGCCGGGGCTCGGCAGGTCGAAGGGCGTATGCTGCGGCTGTGCATCATGAGGAGCAGAAAGGCCACTCCGAGCGCATTACACAAGCTTACGTTCAAATTGGCCACTTAAAATACCTCCCCTAGCAGCCACATGTGTTTAGCATTAGCCAGAACGCTCTAATCGGCCAAACATTATTCTAGCCCTCGTAATGGCACAGGCAGTGTTTAGAGTCAGCCTGTATGATAAGCGCTGGCATGCTAATGATTTATTAATGCCCGTACTTAGCTCAGAGACACTGATGGGCAATGCTTTTGAAATCGCAGGATGTAGCCCAGTCATCTGCTTAGATGATTAGTGAGTTCATTCTCATTTAAGCCAAGGCTGGAAATCAAACAGCAAGAAGCTCTTTTCAGGCTGGGCGTACCTTGACATAAAACGGGAGTGCCACTTTTTAGTCTATGAAAAACTATGAGTATAATTATTAGTGTTAGGTTAAAAAAGGGCCAGAAGGAAAAATCAAACAATTGTGACAGTCTACTATGCAATTTATGCAGCAACTATGCACTGTAGAAGTGGGCAATACTGTGAGAAATTCATTATTGTGGTAAATCTGCCACAAAACACTATTCTGAGCATATTATCAGTATATAACAAACGCTAACCAACTGTATGTTTCATTAAAAAGAGAGTATAATTGGTCCTGTTTAAATGGATTTAGTGAATGCTGTATATAAAAATCAAAAATAAAAATTATACTAACAGTTTTTTCACTAGTGGTGCATTCTGCCTGTTGAAGCTCCAAAAAATAAATTGAATAAATAAATATATTGTGATGCAGATCATGTATTGTGAAAAAGTCTTCAAGTGTCATGATGCTGTATTTCTGTCATATCTCCCACCCCACTACACTGGCTGTTGTTTACAGGCTCTCTGTAATCTGTTTTCTATGCTATATTCCGTTGTTCAATGTTCCAGAAGTCTAGAAGACAAGCATATAGTGACATAATTTATCATGATAACAATAACATATCATCATTTTGGCCAACCCTAATGAGTGGCTGAGTGTGAATAGCTTGAAAGACACACTATTGTCTCTCGCAAGATGAAACATAGCCCGAGCAACTGTTTGAACCTGCGGCTGCTTTCTTCTGAGGCGCCCATCTGCGTGCATCTCACAGACTCGATGTCATGCTCTTTCGGGATGATCATTCACAACCTCGCTCCCCTGAATGGTAACTGTTCCAGTTTCAAAGTGCAGCCCCTATGTCAGAAAAAAAATTGCTAGGAAGCACCGTTGAGATAGGGGTGTCATTATTCTACAGTGGCAGAAGCAAAACAAACAAAGGGCAATGGAGAGATGTGGGAGTTCAATAAAACAGTATCTATTTCAGCAGGTCCCGTAACTGGAAACTGATCAAAGCGTGAGAAGTAACACAGGAAATAGCTTTGTTATAGGGTTGTTGTTTAAAAAGAATGTGCCACTGAAAATGAAATCTGTTTTTGGCCAAGAAGTGGCTTAGACAGTTTTCTTAAGTAACATTTATCACCCAACTAATAGTACATAAATGGAACATTACTGTGAATATGCCACATATTCAGAGCACTGCTGTCTAAACACTGATTTTAAAATTACTTTCATAAAGTGAAACAGCTTTAGGGCACTTAGGAGTTGGGTGATTTCCCATCACCCAGATCTTGATAAGAAACGGCATGTTCTGTATGTTTTAGCCATCAGAGCTCAGAAACTCCTTCTATGTACTTTATATTGAAAAAGAAAGCGGCAACTAAAGCAAAGTCTGTGGTGATCCATAACAAGTTGGATTCTGTGAAGATATATTGCAGCTTTATCTCAGTCCTACTGGCCTGCTGTTACTCAGTCAGTCCTTTCATGCGGAATGTTGACTTGGACTCAAAGAGTGTGTATTATTAAAGAGTACACATATTTCCTAAAATGGGTCTTTCACTCATGCTACCTTTATAAAATATCTTTAAAACAGATTTTCTGCAAGCTTCTATTGTGGTGATATCAATGGATCTCTGTGTGCAGAAAGCATGAGGGTTTTGTTGTGTGGCGGTGGTGTTGTCTTAACCTCTCTGATCAGACAAAAGCCACTCACATGCCACATGTAGGCATCCATTTACGTCTCTTTAGAAGAGGCTCATCAAAAGCAGCCCTGGAGGAGAAATGTTATAGCATCTGTCGCCTCTGACAAGCACAAACATAGTCTGTTTGCAAATACATATACCCTTCCCATGAGCTAATAATATAAATGCATATAACAACTGCCTATATACTAGAACTTGAAGTCGCATAAATATGATTTGCAAAAGTAATGCTCACAAATGACTATACTATCTCAAGCAGTCCTCTCAAAGGTCTGTGTCTGCGTCTAATAACTGCTTTAGTTATCTTCTTGTCCCATCAGCAGTTTTGTCATAAGGGGAAAGAAACACACAAACAAATCTCATCAGTCTATGGGTCAGGTTAATAAATTATATGGTCACTCTTTCTGTCTTTGAAGGCACAAAAAATTGCGAGACTTTAAACGTCGTCTTTCAATGAAGGGTTGTGACTGACATTATTAAAGATAAAGAAAGGAAGAAAAGCAAACCACCTTTATCTTCATAAAGCAAAAATTATTTCTGCAGGCTACAACAGGCTTTAGTTTAATAGAAATCCCCACAGGTGCCACTTTCTCTTTTTTTCATTAATTGTTTTTTATGTGTAAAAAAAGATCTTGCTAGTCAGACAGGCATTCAGTTTCAAGAATATCCAAGATATTAGGTCTGTAAGAAGACAAATCATTTAGGGCTTTTCCACAGCCAGTACGTAATCACAGTTTTAATGAAAAATGTAACTACGTGCATAATTAAAAGACGCTGCAGATTTAGGAGCTCAGTGCACGGATATCAATTTTGGACCTAATCACTTTACAGAGCCCGTCTTCCGGTCAACCGGTTGAGGCCATTACGGCTGAAAGCATATATTTATGGCTGAAAGTCAGGGAGCTTGCACGTAAACATTAAAGACGTGACATAAAATAATTAAAGCAAGAGTGACGGCGTGCACTAACGTTACTTACATGCAATAAAACGTGTTATTCACCGGTGTTATGTCCTTTTTATGAGCGTCCCAGTGAGAAAGCAAAAGTCAGTCTCGTTTTTGACAGTCCAACTTCTGTACTTGCTTTATGTTTTCATATTTCAGGTTTACTGAGGAAAGTGGCAGCCGCTTTCATACCCCCCCTTCCCACAGAAAAACAGTAGAAGTAACCTCGTGTTTAACTCTGACGACTTTAAATGAATATAAGACGGAAAGTAGGCGAAAGAGTCTGTTGAAGTTAAAAAATATCTCAGTTTTGTGTGTGTGTGTGTGTAAAATGAGACCCCCGGTTCGGAAGCCGAAGCAGGCCGAGTTGCTCTTACCTTCCGACGGAGGGAAAACGCGGAGCTCAGGCGGAGAAAGCTAGCAGCAAAAAGCATTCTTCTGGCAGCAAATCCGCACTGGGCCCTCCATTAGACACGGGCTCAGAGTGCAGGGCAGTAGGGAGAAGAAGAAAACACGGGATACAGTGGTTTAGCTTCTCTCTGTCTGGCTGTAGGTAGCTCACGAGACCCGCGAGTGCAGCGGATGAAGTAGGCTACAAAGTCACGCAGACGAACGAAGCTCGTGCCGCGGACTCCGGGCGAAGCTGCCAAATGAGCACTACGCTACGGACTAAACTCTCTCTTTCTTTCTCTGCTCGTTCACTCTCGCAGTACAACTGTCTTTTTTCCCGAGCACATACACTCACTTACACACTCACTCACACACACACGCATCCTCGAGGCAAGTATCAAATTGCTGAGCAAATCGTGGCAGCGAGGCGCAGTCTGATGGTGGAAGCAGGAATGTTCCAAGCCCACAGCCCAACAGGGCAGTGCTAGAAGAAGGGGGCTGCCCTAGTGCCAGTGTGGTAACGAGCTTTTACCATCAAACCAAATGAATATCAGCGTGCTCCCCGCCCCCTTACACCCCCTTGCAAAGACTTCGTCCACCACAGGAGTGGCTCTCTGAGTGGGCTTTTTCTTCGATATACCTGTTCTGCTCATTTGTGGGTCAACGTTTCGGGGTGCCAGTAGTTGTGACGTGTTTTAGAGGAAATATATTGCTTTATATAAATTCTAAAATTTGGACATTTTTTTATTTCTCTAATAAATGTGGTAGGCTAGTTATCATGATATAGTATTGATTTATCTTGCATGTGTAAAGCCAGCTCCCCGACTCCTAAATACCTGTGGGGGCTCAATCAAGAAAATTTTTAAAACAATTTTTTTTTACTGCATTGACGTTTGTGTGCTTATATTCTAATGTTAAATAGAGTCTTAACTGGCAAAACTCTTCTTATTGCCATATGTACACCATGTACACATACGTACAAGGTGCCAATAGTTCAACAAACCGACTAAGCTTAGGCTAATACATTGTAAGTAATGCTGTATGTAACAGTAAGTTATAAAACCTGGAACAGTGCAACAGCCTGTGGATGGTTAGGTTATATACAGTGGCCCTAAAAAACCAAGTGACACATATTTTAGGTTGCAGGTTTGCATCCAAAATGTCTCTGTATACTTGTTCATGTTCCTATTAAAGAACGGCAACTCCATTTCACCTAGCATAGTTCAAGAAAAAACAGCCATTTGTATCATTTTGTTCCACATTTTTTGAAGAAAATGTATATGATGTAACTGATAAACGGCAAACAGCCTTTTTTTCTTGTGCTCAGATTTTGGCCTTTTTTTAAATGCATTTTGTCTGTTCCACCTCATCATATCTTAGAAAAACTAATCAAGCTACGCGCTTGCTTTGGATATGGTTCTGTTGAATCCTCCACTGTGAGAAGACAATGCTTTGGATCTGATAGGATGTATTTATTTATCAAATTCAACTGAGGCTTCTGTGTCATTTTCTGTTAAAAATGTTTTCTGCTTTTTTTCTGATGCTAAAAAACAAATGGCCATTTTGAGTGAAGATTAAATAAAAAAAATGGTCTCTGACTTTTTCCTGTTCAAATGTATTGACATAATGTAACACATGCCACCCTGACATGTAACACCTTTAAATACAGGCCCACATATATTCTTTGCAATATTAAAACACTGAGATTGAAGTGTCAGTCTTAATTCTAATGAATGTGAGTCTGAGAGTTATAGTGAATAATGATATATTGTGGCAGGTGGTGCCCCAGTCTGCATGTTCTTATATTCCTCAGCCGTGCAGGAGTTTTCAGGAAGTAGGTGATATATTTGTACATACCTCTGTCATTCATTGACAGGAAGGCTACAAAAAAAGGCGAGGCGCTTTAAAAGACATTACTCTTCAACGGCATGACGGATTTGGTCTAAATGAAAAACATCACCTGTGATATTCATATGGCATGTTCATTTCACTGCAGCACGAGCTGACACAGGGCAGTATAAAATACTTAACGGATTGTGCTGGCTTACTGTGCCTTCATTAATATGACTGAAATGGAGCCAGGCTTGAGTAACTAAATGGCCACAGGTCGTTTTTGGCCTCAGGACTGTTGGTTGGATGGACATCGTGTTATTTGGCTGGAACTATTTCCTCAGCAGTAGGGGTTTGTGTGTGTGTGTGTTTGTGTGCGTGTTTGCAAGACTTGGTGGGCTTGTTGGCTGCTCAGGCCTGTGTGAAACGGTCATCTGTTCTACGTATGGCCATGTGTAAACAGGATAATCGTCCCTGCACCTATATGCATTGGCTGCGGTGATGAGCGGGCCGTGCGAGCTGGGACAGCAGGTGCTCCCTGCCGTCTGACGGCTAAACCCAAAAGGTGATTCGGTTTCTCCAAGATTAAGTTGTCTAGGCTCAGAAAGCTCTGACATTGAGAGACAAAGAAAAATAAAACTTATGCAGGATGGTTTTATTGGCCAAGTAAAATAACACTTTGTCTTAGCAGTACCTCACCATGAAGCAGGAAATAATCAAATGTACACAATTACCCCCTTAAACCGAAAGTAGTTGATCAACTAAGACATGATTAATGTCTGTTGTTTGCTTTTTTAGTTCCACACTGGAGCTATGAGGCTAATGTGGCTATCAAGTAATGGAAGCTTATAGCTCACCAATTAGCATCATACAAACTATATACCTAAGTAAATGCTGAAATCATCAAATATTTGTCTCAAACACCACTGAGTTCTTAAGTAATCTTAAATAGACATGCATGTGTCATTTTAGACAACATATGACATGCTATTCTCAATACAAATGGACAAAAGAATAAACAATTTTCTGGCTGCCACTACAATTTTTGCATATACGATGTACTTTGTGATGTATAGACCTCATAATACTGGTAAGCTGCATTAGCCTCGTAGCTCCAGTACAAAACTAAATAAGCAAACTTCAAACACTGGACATATCTTGGCAGATCGATAACATTTGGATTATGGGGAAAATTGTGTTTTTGTTTTTTTTTTGCCAAAATATCACATTAAGATAAACATACCTATAAGTGAATAAGCAGAATGCAGGGGAGAATAAAGCAAAATAAAATGTAATAAATTGACGTCTTAATAATCTGCCAATGACTTCCGTCCCTCGTCTACCTGTGTCTATTTGAATGCATTGAAGTTAATCTGATTTCTGTTCTTGTTCATTTGAAACAAAGACAAAATGCATATGGCATGCAGACATCACATAAGAGAGCTTTTCCACATACATGTAGATACCATGTATTTGAAGAATGACATGAGACTTATTTGTCCATTATGTCTAGTTTTAGGCAAAGAGAACATGAGGGAGGGAGGTCAGGAGAGACTCTGCCTTGTTGATTTTGAGCCTGATGGCATATGAACATGTGGGTGGATCTGTGTCTAGTTTGCATGTACTTTAACTTTACTTTATGTGCACTTGACATGTTGCTCACATATTGTTATAAACATAGACCCGCAGGTGGAGGAGGGAGGAAAGTCATTGGCAAAAAGTGGACCCTCTATTTTATGTGTAGTTTACATGCACTTTACATGTACTTTCTGAGTATGTTACCTGTACTCTATGTGTATGTTACATGTAATTTACATGTGCTTTACGTGTTCCTTACATGTTGTTTTAGATGCAGACTTAGACATGCAGACAGACAAGAACAGGAAGTCACAGGCAAAAATGTAGACCATTCTTTATGTGTATTTTACATGTATTGTACATGTACTATACATGTACTTTAGATGCAGATTAGGATGCACAGGTTAATACAGGAGGGAAGTCATTGGCAAAAAAAAGTGAACCAAACATACTTTAAAAGTGCTTTTCATGTATTTTACATGTTTCTCATGTGTTTTAGATGCCAATGCAAACACACAGGTAGATGAGGGAGGAAAGTCACCATCAAAAAATATAACCATGATACTTTCTGCATGTTTTATATGTACTTTATATGTTCTTTACATGTACATGGGTGTTGTTTTAGACACGCAGGTAGGCAAGGGGTGGAAGGCATAGACAAAAAGTGGACACACTATACTTTACATGTACTTTATGTGTTTCTCACTTGTCCTGTTGACACGCAGGTAGATGAGGGAGGGAAGTTGTAGGCAGATTCTTGAGCCTGTCAGCCCCTCAGAGCTGGTGCTTTCTTTTTTCTGTACATTTCATTCTTTTCAATGTGCTTCCCTTCTGTTTGTAATTCTATTAATATGACACTGGACTAGAGACTTACATATTCCTGTTCCAGATGATGTCATTTCTTTTCACCCCTCTGAATTATTTCTCACTTATTGATCACTGTACGAAGTGGAGAAATTCTGTCAGAAGTGCAAAACATTCAAACAAAACCATGTTTGTGTTTGTAAGTAGAGGAGTACACATTTTATTTTATTTAAGTTTTGAATTTGATTTGTTGGTTTTATTTTACAGAATGAAAAACATTGCTTCCCATTCTTGTTGTCGTGTGACGCTGAAGCAAACAGAAAAAGTGAAAGCGCAGATTCAAAGCTGTCAGACAGACTGTAAAACAAATGCACATATAATTCATCGTGTTAATGACAGTGTAATTACAAATGTAATTACATAATTGCGTTTGTACAGCAAAACAATGTAATAACACTCAATTTCTAAAGGTTAAACAACTTTTTAGTTCATGAAGTACATGAACAAAAAAAAAGTGCACTGAAGCCTGTAGCAGCAGTTTGGTTATGCTACCTGATATTAAAATTATTTCACAGTCTCTTACTGAAATGCTAAAAGGCTCGTCATGCTGTAGAGGGTATACTATCTGTCTCTGGTTTGGTCTGGAGGGAAAAAGATAGACAGACAGACAGGCAGATAGATAGATAGATAGATAGAGAGAGAGAGAGGGAGAGAGAGTATGGATGGCAGGGTTCAGAGGAAGGGGCAAGATGGCGATTGGACACAGTGGCATGTGAAAGGCCAGAAAGTAGGCAGCCTACAGGGAACAGGGGCCAGCATAAAAAGCCTGAGGAGGGGGGTCAGGACCACAGAGGGGAGAGAGAGAGAGAGAGAGAGAGAGAGAGAGAGAAGAAGAGAGAGAAAGAGGGAGAAAAAAAATAGAGAGAGAGAAAGAGGGAGAGAATGAGATAGGAAGACAGAGAGAAGTGATTGAGACAAAGAGAGAGAGAGAGAGAGAGAGAGAGAGAGAGAGAGCCCCAGAGCCCATAGTGAAGCACAGACACTGGAGAGAAAGTGTACACAGTAAAAACACTATGTAACAGTACAATAAATACAGATACATATCCAACAATTAAAAAGTAATGAGAAGGTTTGTAGGTTTACAAACACAATTTACTGTAAACACAACTTTACACAGTTCAAGTCATTTTCAGTGGTTTGATGTGAAATGGTGAATTGTAGAGAAGTTCACTAACTTTTTTTCTAAATCAGATTTTCTTTACAGTGGTGCTGATAGGAGCTAGGGATTGCGATGTCTACAGTGCATATATAGCCACTGTATTTATGATTTCA